TGACCCTGGCTAACCTTGAGCAGGTGGGAGCCCTTCCTGGGCCCCAGTCCGCACACGTACTGCACCAGGCTCTGGGTGTAGGGGTGGGCTATGGCTCTGTTCACGTCCACGCCCACCTCGTTGACCCGGTTGATGAACTCGCAGTACAGCGCGTTCAGAAGGTCCTCCTTCACGACGTGCTCCTGGTGGAAAAAAGGGTCAGGTTTAGAAAAGAGCTCAGTGATGGAATCACAGGAGCACCAGGGGGAAAACAAGCCAAGGGCCTTCTTTCAGAATAATTGCCTCAGAAATATTCACATGCATTATAGCTCCAGTTACACAGAAAAGATCAACTGAGACTGAAACTATGATCCTTGTCTGCAGAGAAAACCGTGGTCTGCTTGGGCAACATGGGAGAAACCTACCTGCAGAGGATGCATCTTGAGGCACAGTATGTCCTCGTCGGTGCTGCACACCTGAGCGTACTCCACCAGAGGATCCTGGATCTTCCGGGCGATGGACACCGCTTGGCGGAGCAACGGGGGATAGTCCCGGAAATCCACCTGGAAAAACCAACCGTGCTCTGAAAAACCCTCCGCGGGAAACGGCTGGATATCAAAGGGATTCATCGCCTCCCCATCAGAAAAATTCAAGATGCTGTTATTTTGTTTTACCTTTTTGTGCAAACTGTTTTCTTAAGCAAGTATAATTGCCCTGAGCTGTCAGCTGTAAGAATGTCGTCACCCTATTCTGCAAGATCAGGATTCCTGCAGGTTAGATGCGCCTATTAACCTGCTGAAAAGAGCACTTTTCATTTTTAGTCCCAACCCCAATAGAAAATTAACTGAATATTTCAAGTGGAAGAAGAGCAGATGATCTTGCAGCTTCTGAGAACTGAGTTTCCCCTTGCTTGCTCGGCAACAGCTAGATGGAGGACTCTGGTGACAAAGGACAAAGCAGAGCTTTCCGATCATGCCCACGAACTCCAGCATGACAAACGGACAGAGAAGGAGGTGGCGCTCACCTCTGACTTCTTGCTGTTCATGTAGAGCACCGCCAGCTCGTTGTCCACCAGCTCCACTCCGATGGAGGGCAGGGACATCTCCTGCTCCAGCTCGCTCACCACACGCTTGATGTCTTCGATGATCATGTGGGCGTCCCTGCGGGGAACACGGTCTGTGAGTCGGCGGCTCCCAGAAAGAGGGGGGGGGGGGATTCCTCACACTCCACAAAAACAGAAAAAAGATCCGGCAAACCTGTTTTCCCCGGCAACGGCGATCACATGAGGCTTCTTGCTGACGAGGAACTTCTTCAGGTTTTCGATATCTTGCATCTGGTGGGAGGGGAAACCAATATCAACACCTAAGCTTCAGAGAAGAAGCAGAACGGATGTCCAAACACCCAAAGTCAAATAACAAAAGAAAGGTTTCAACCCCGAAAGCATAGGACAGTCATTTGGGGTGAAAAAACATATTAAAACGTCATGTGTATCTTTGTTTCGAGTTTGAGAGTGCAGATATTCAGTGGTCTGTCAGCTGATGCCTAACGTAGAGTCCATGTGTCCTGTGGATCTTAAAACTTTTACAGGACGTGCAAGGGTCTGTTATAACAAGGTTCAGAACAAAAAAGGAATCAAGACCAATAAGCACCTCAGCAGATGAATACCCAGAGGAAACAAAATACACAGACCATCTACAATAGCGAAGTATTTTTTTAACAAAAGGAATTAACAGTGCTATCTAGAAATGTAAAAGTAAAAAAAAGCGTCTCAGAAATCGTTTTCAGTTATTGTATAATGAATAGGGACAAAGCAAAAGCAAAATTTCAGTGTAAGCAGAACATGACTGTGAACAGGTCAGAAGCCAACAACCCAATCAGTTCTACCAGAAACACCATGGGGGCATTTAAGTATAATTGGAAACCTGGTTTCAAGTCTCAAATCTACCTTTTTCTCTCTCTCTTCCTCTCGCCAAGCGTTTCGCCTCTTCAGGAAGTAAGGCAGGCGCAGGAAATCGACGACTTCGCCATCGCCGTTGACGAGGGAACAGAACACTGGAGTGTCCCTGAGAATACGAAAGGCTGCCCTTCAAAATGTGAAGTTCCACAACAGCACACCTCTCAGCCAGGCACTCCGCCTAGCTAACGGACTCCTGGCACCCTTGTAAGAAAGCAGGCTGCTATATTTAATCACTGCTTGTGCCTTTTCTGGGAAACAAAATTAAGGTGCTACTATAAAAAATACCCAGTCTCTTCTACACACCGAAGTGTCTCCCGCCCTGTTGGCACTTGTGCTACAAGGTGGTGGTGTAGGGTTAATAATGTGGACTCAGAGCTTCAGCTTCATTCTCGCTTGTGGTTCCTGCCGGCCTGTTCTGCATGTTCTTCCTGTGACCCCAAAGACATGCTGGCTACTCCAAAACTTCCCCCATATCATAACGTCACATAAGGAGTGATCAAAGTCATTAGGGGTGTTTAAGGAAACCCAGATGAGTTCAAATATTATTCTAAGAAAAGAAAACCTGTAATTAAAAATAATACTCGATTTCCCCATGTGAAACTCATGTCCCCTCCACGCCAGCCTGTGCTAGATCGGCTCTGATGACACAGTTCATCGGAAACGTTTCTCGTCTCGACCAAGAATTATTTCTTGCTGCAGTCTCGGATGTGCAACTGTTATCGTGCAGCCAAAAGGCATCCTCCGATTTGTTAACGTTTTGATGTTCGCCGGGAGATCGGCTGGCCCCGGGCGCCCCAGGCGAGAGGGTTACCTGCCGGCTGCGAAGGCCACCCCCAGCACACGGATGCCCTTGCCCTGGTTCTCGTCCATGAGGTCATCGTCCTCCTCCACCTGCTGGTCAGGGCGGTACGGCGCCACCTTGAGCCAGTTGTACAGCTTCCGGCTGCAGCCCTACAGAGAGAGAGAGAGAGCGCGTGCGCATGTTCTTCACTGCCAAAACTCTTGGGAAGCATGCTCAATACTCCATTAGTGTTACTTTCAGTCTATAAGAACTTGCACAAAGCAAGGAAACAGGCACTGACTTTCCAGCACGAGGCAGGAGCTGATACACCAGAGCCGGCAGCCTGCTGAACCAGAAATGCATTTCGCAACTTTCACAAATTGATCACCTTGATAATGTTCTCCTTGGCCTCCGCCATGAGCTTGTTCTTCAGCTCCTTGGCCATCTGCGGGTACAGGAACTGCTTGAGCGAGCGCTCGATGGCCAGGGTTCGCTGGCGGTTCCACTCCTGCACCTGGTGGCTGAACTCATCTCGGTAGTAAAACTGCTTGATCTCGTCAAAGTACGTCTGGTCGCTGCCGTACCTACAGGCCCAAAACACAGGAGCTGTTTTTCATCTTGCAGTGGTTAACGACTGACTAATTCCTCCTTCGTAAACTAAATAAGGGCGGCAGAGACTCTGAATAGCTATAGTGATACTATAATTATTAGTATTTGCAATCTTGCAGTGTTTTAAACAGCTGATCATAAATCTTATTAAACTCACAACGTTATGGAAAATAAAACTTAGTCAAAATAATTTTCTAGAGGTATATAGCAATTTAAAGTATGTCAGTAAGGGGGAACAGAAAACACACAGGAAGGCAAGACAGCAGCAATGACAGCGCACCCCTTTACTCCCATCAGATCGATGCAGATGTCTATGGTTAACAGCCCCTCGTCTTCAGCCAAGCACATCTTCAGGAACTGGTCACCATTCAGCTCCTTCACAGGCTTGTTCTTCAGGTATTTGAAGGAATAGGCATAGTGGGCTTCATCTACATCCTGCAACCACAGGGCAACATTGACAACCGAGAAGCACTGCCACGCCCCTCCGAATGGGAAGACATTCTCCCGAACATTCAAAAGTATACTCTTCTTATACCTGCAAAAAGCTGTAGTCCATGTAAAGGTGTGAGAATTGATCAGATCAGCTTAGCAGATGCACGATTTAAAAGGGGGAACTGGATGGTTTTTTAAAACAACTGGGCTTAGTCGAACCAGGAGAAGAGCAAACTTCATGCTCTAAATGCAGGAGCCCAACCTCTCCTGGCCTGGAAGTGACATGTGTGCATCAGAAGGACCAGGGAAGAGGCTCGTACCTTCTTGCCTTTCTTGGTGGGCTTGATGTTGATCTTCGCTCTCTCCTGGAAGGTCTGCCGGAGCACGTGTCTGACCAGCGGCTCCCTGGCGATCTGCATGGCCACCATGTAGCGGGTCCCCTCCAGCACCGCCTCCGGCACCGAGAACTGACTGTGAGGACACAGGGGTTTAACTCGGACCAATGGGGAACCCCAACCCAAGCCACCGCTGCCACCTCAAGACCTTGACGTCCGCAGAGCAGAACAGAATGAAAACACAATCTCTATACTACACACACACCACCAATGTAATAGAAGAAAACCAGATTATGCAAATACATAAAGTAGCAACTGTACACAGTACGGGCAGGGCGGTTCTCGCCTGTGCATAAAACACAGCGGCTACCTGCAGACGTAGTCTTTGGCCAGCTCCAGCGGCTCGGCGGGGAACTGCTCCGTCTCGTGGCGCTGGTAGCTGTCCCGCAGGTTCTCCCCAAACTGCTCCGGGGTCAGACCAAACTTCTTAGCCAGACCGTCTGAAAAGGACGATTTTGTCAGTGAAATCTCTCACGTTTGAAGAAAGAAACCATTTCCTGAACGGGCTGTGCATTTTGCTAGGATTTCACTCCGCGGTGATGAACAAAATGCATTTTCTTAATGATTAAATACAGCATCACAGGCACTGCGGGGGTCTCTTCAGGTCCTGACACCCTAACCTCAAAATCAAAAGAACATGAAAGCCCCCGCCGTTCAGTCTGCCCAGAAGGCAAAGCGCCCCCTGGTGTTGACGTGACTCACCCAGCCCGGCGCTCTGACAGATGCTGTACATGTCCCTGCGGGAGGCCAGCTTCAGATCTGGCCCCTTCTGCTCCTCTTCCTCCTGCTCCTCAGCCTCAATATCCTGCTCACCTGCACAGAGGAAAAGGCACACCCTCACACTAGTGATGGGGACCCCAGGCCACAAGTCTCTTCATGCCCTTTAATGAGCATGAGCATCTGTGCGTTAAATTTGCATGCTGGTAGCTTACATCTTACATTAATATCAATGACAAGAAGAAATTAAAGTACGCACATTTTGAAGCACTGCAACATTGTTTACTATAATGAAACCTCGTGATTCACTATAATCCTGATCCAGCATAATTAGTTCAGTAAAAGGAGGCTCTGCCTATATCTCACCATCTTCTTCCGAGACCTCTTTGATTTTCTTCAGCTTCTTTTTGTTGGCTTTGGCAGCATTTTGCATTTTGGGGATGTCGCGGCCGTAGTACAGAAGGAAGTGGTTATACACATCGCTCAGCTCCTCGATAGACTGGACATCTTTGAGCCTGAGCAGCAAACAGGCTTTCAGTCTTTCATGCAAGAAACCGGCTGGACAGAAAGTGCCTTCTACTGAAATGGGTGATTCTATCCCCTTCCCTTAAAAACAGATAACATGTTCGTGGCCAAAACTGAGCAGCTGTGCGTTAAATGTGGATGCTGGTAGCTTACATCTTACATTAATGCCATATCAAGGACAAGAACAAATTAAAGAACGCACATTTTAAAGCACTGCAACATTTACTACAATGAAACCGTGGTGTTGGCCGTGGTGGATATGGTCTCCTCTAGGATTTTACACTGAGTCGATCAGGAACGCATCTTCACAATTCAAAAGGGGTCTGGTCCCATCCGTTCCAAAGCTCCTGTTATGTTCTACGAAATATTTTGAATCTCCTCAGCACCAGGGTCTGAAAACGGGCTTTACCTCTCCATATCCGCAGTGTCTAGAGGCCGGATTCCATCGGCGAGAGGCTTGTCGGGATCGGCAGAGATTTGCTCAAACTGGAAGGCCTGCATCTTCTGGAAGAGCCGGGTCAGGTTCTGCTTCCGGGTCTTCAGCTGGGTCCACTTGAACACGCAGGAGACAGGCAAGTCAGCGGCTGAAGAGCTTCGGGACACCTACACTGCACAGCTGAGAAGCTCGCGAGTAATAGTGACATTCAGAGATTCTCAGCTCCTCTACACAACTGCATATAGTGCAATGAACTAAAAATGCAGAGATATTTGTAATTAAGGTTACTAAACAAAGGTTTGTACTCAATCTATTTCAACCTAATAGCACTACCCAAACAATTAGAAAAATATCTAAAACCATTATAACATGGTTAATAGATTACCTTTTCATCCCACTGCCAGACTTTCCACAGATCGTTGATATTAAGCTCTGGTTCCACATACTCCTTTCTGTAGAATGCTATAAATGGAACCTAAGAAAAGACATGGACATGACATCATTTTATCATGGACATAATCATTTAATCACTGTATCACCCATTCGTGCTGCCTCTTAAGAAAGGCAGTGCACTACACACACTGCCAGCTGCACAGGCTATGCAGCCAGGACCCTTCCATACCTCAAAGTGCTGGTTCCTCATGAAGTTAAGAGCTTCCTTGATCTTCTGGATAGTGCTGGGGCCCTTCCTGCTGAAGCTGCTGGTTGAGCCACGGTCCAGGTAGTCAGAGCTTTCCTGGAAGGAAACCAGTGTGAATAAGTCAA